CCACGCGCAGATGTTCGTGGTAAATAATGAAACAAGCATTTACTGGATACGAGCCGCTTAATTAGGACGACAAGCGTTTACGCGGCGCGGACCGGTTAATTAGACCCCTACGACATCTCTCGATACACATATGTACAGCTAATTAGACCACAAAAATACCATTTACATTGTTTGCTGGCTATTTGATACATCGTGGACGTGTCACATAAAGCAAAGAAAAAATTGCGAACGTCCGTTTTCGTTTCCTTGGTGGCTCGTGTATTAATTTATCGGTTTAATACCACTAACGTAGGATTTTCTTTATTTGTTCTCCGAACATCGAGAAAGCTTGTAGCCCGAAGTTTTCGAAAGCTCGATAAAACGAAAGCAGACCGCGACGGGCAAAGTTTTCATTTCCCTTCCTGCAAGCGCGTTCCTTTCCTCGTTCCATCTCGAAGTCGACTTCACCGATATGAACGACAACAGCCAGAAGAGATTTCTGCGTCAGAAAATTGGCCATCGAGGCCAGTGCTCGCTGATGCTCGACGATTCATTTATCGAGGAGTCGTGCGCTTGAATTTTCGCGACCCCCGAACGGACAAAACGAATCGAATTATTACTTAATAAATTGTTTCATTCATCTGGTTTCTCGCGCGATAATTCTTGTACTGGTCGTGCAAAAGAAATCGTCGTCGTCTATTATTCCAATCGAATTTTGCCCGACTATGGTTCGTACAATGCAAAAGAACAGAGGGGAAAGTTTCTTGTCCTCGAGCCAATGAAAGGAGAACGTTCGCGTACTTCCTCTGCTACGGGACGAACTTTCCATTCGTGCGACATTATCATATGTAAAATATGCGATTGTGGACTTTCGTAAAAAGCAGGACCGAAAAAACCTTTCGACTTTCTCGTAGAACTTTCTATGAAACGCTCGAGCAGAAAATTCTAAAGAAATATCGAAACGGGGTGCTTTTAAAAACATTAATGCTACAAGACCAATGGGAATCGGGGATTATTTATTATTTAATTATTCGCTCATTTTACCATTGGTACGCGAAGCAGCGGTTGCTCCAGCACAATCCGTGGTCATACATAATAATTAAAGCGACACCAGATTCACACGTGTTTATGAAATTCAATTATCACCGCGCTAACGTTACACTTTAATTAAATATTCCCCGCCGACCGGTATTTACCGTGACCACTCGCTAGATGCATGTTTTATTTCAGGCGGACGAGCATATTCCACGGGAAGCTTCCTCGAAATAGGTATCGAATTTCAAAATGTTCTACGTGTTTATATGCAAAATTATTCGTTCTCGATAATGATACAATTGTATGCGTTTATGGAAAAATGAGAACATGCGTGCAGCGACATTGGTATCTTGTTATACGTAGGTTTTTCTTTTAACGAGGAGGTAATTTAATTCTTTCATTTCTCAACAACAGATGATTTACTTCCCTTCGAAAATTATTGAAACGCAGAAAAAAGAATACATCTACAACACGATATCCTATCTGTATGAAATCAAATTGCATCGCACGGCGATAAAATAAGCGACACAGTTTTCGGTCGATTAACGAAATAACTACACTCTGGTGTCGAAATACGCGTCGGTCGAATACGCAAGGCTTGGCTTTTACCTCTTTCCACGCTCGTATTTCACGCATCGACCTCGCCAGGGCGGCTTTCTGGCCCGTCTAGCTAACAGCGTGCAATATTTCATCCCTGGAGAAGTTCCTTAAGTGCAGCGCGGTTTCGAATGCAGTCAGTGGCTCCCGCGCGATGAAAGAAAAGAGCTCGGGTGGAAGGAGTGCCGCGCGGAAAAGCCTCGTTTCTCCTCGATGGCACGATTTTTGGTCTCTATACCGAAGTGCTCGCCAGCTTTAAGCTCCCACGCGCCGCGATACCTCGAGTGCACCCGATCTGCGTTTCTACAGGGTGCACAGACACGTACTTCGACGAGAACGCGTGTCAAATTTGCATGAAATCCTTGTCGCGACGCGAACAATTCTCTTATTACTATGCATCAAAAATGGCTAGGAAGAGCGATTGTTCGTAAAACTTGAGTTAATAAAATTCACTACGAGACTTGCGAAAGAGAGATGTATATTGATTGATTCTCATCAAAGAAAGTGGGACTGCTACAGGTTACAAATCTCTCGGGAGCAAAACGTGAAAGCAAAAATAAAAGGAAAGAAGAGATGGACAGGGCTAAAAATAGAAGTCGCGAGCCAATTTTCCTTCGCGGAACAATCTCTCCACCTCAGACAGGTTTGGATAATTTGAAGGGTCGCCGCTCGTGATTTCATGAAACAATCTCGACCTTCGACGGGCAGGAATCGATTCCTCAGCATTTCCATAGCGCGACTCCCTGCAAGCGAATCCTTTCAGACTTGGCAAGGATGTGCTTTTATCAAGAATTCCTTGAAAGCCGACCGTTTTTAGCGTCGCTGGTTGCAAAAGAATATAAAGGGATATCTTGTTCCGTCTGCTCAGGCCACAAAAGACGCTGGAAATTGGTGAAAAGCTGTCAGCGGAGCAGCGTGCTAACCAGCCAGTTCTTGACTTTGAATGTCGACGATTAAGATCGAAGAAAGGACGCTCATTTACCGTTCGGGGTATAAAAGCGTCGAATTGTCTGGACGAAACCGAAAGATCCTCGAGCCAATGGGGGATGAATAAGAAGTCGCGCATGGATATATTACTTCAACATTTTTATGTCAACCGATAAGGATCATTGGCTCACTCGGAACACTTACGGAAAATATCTGGGCGTATTTCGCGAAGAGACGAAACCAGTTATCAAGCAATATTTCCTCGTTTCCGGCACTTTACGGTCCATAAAAATGCTGAACAGATCAAGCGTGTCTCGTTGCGAGGCGAACGTGCCACGTATCGCTTTAAATATTTTATACTCTCGCCTTACCAATTGTTCCCTAGCGCGGTCTTCCCGTGGGTGCACCAGTCACGTAAACGCGATATTAAATTCACGACTCGAATTACGGACGATCGTAGCCACCTGAGTTGCAAGATACCATCAGATATACGAGCAGAGCAGTCTCACTTGGTGGACAGTTGGTTACTTAGTGCTGGTTTTGATTAACCGAGGTCTGACATAGCCATTGTCCTAATGAAAACGTTGCTTAACCGAAGGGCTGAATAGACTCCTTCTCGAATTTTTCACAGCTTGTTGGGTACAGAAAAATTCGTCAAGTCCCAGTCTGAAATTAATGTGTCGATCGAAGGACCGAGCTAGACGGAAGGCAATAAGATGTAAATCGTCGAGATAGGAAGACAAAAGTCGAAAGTTTACCGGGAGTCGAATAGGAAGCTGTTCGGATCCACTACGAAACGTTTGTTCGAGTCGAAGACGTCGGAATTCGCGTTCCCTCGCGTCGATGTACGTATTTCGTCTTCCTCGATGGTCTATCTACTCTTATACAGGGTGTCCCAAAAGTCGGGGAGGAGCCGGAAATGGGGGGTAGCTGAGACGATTCTGAACAACAATTTCCTTTGCAAAAATGTCGGATGGGGCTTCGTTAAGGAGATATTAAGCGAAAACCCCGACCAATCAGAGCGCGCGTAGACCGTTCGAGCGGCCGCGGTAGCGAAGGCTTCGCGCTAGGCGGCAGCGTCAATGTCCTTCGATGCACGTAGGAGTCATTTGTTCGCGTACAAGCGCGGCCGCCAGCGCGTAACCTTCGCTACCGCGGCCGCTCCAACGGTCTACGCGCGCTCTGATTGGTCGGGGTTTTCGCTTAATATCTCCTTAACGAAGCCTCATCCGACATTTTTGCAAAGGAAATTGTTGTTCAGAATCGTCTCAGCAACCCCCCATTTCCGGCTCCTTCCCGACTTTTGGGACACCCTGTATACGTCGAAGCGTATTTTCGCCCCCTCAAGCCTCGCCTACGCTCTCCATCAAAAATAGGGAAAATTCTCAGTCAGACAGGAAGGTCGAATACCGACTAAATCCAACAACTGAATGGATCACTTTATATTCAATGAATATTTCAATTACTGAGTGAATTATACAAAGGCATCTTAACCTACCAATAGTCGCTAAGATCGCTGCTCGACACGTCACATGACCCTATCCGTTTGTCGAATGTATTTCTAATTAACGAATAAAATATTCAAGCATCCCTGCGCTTCATTTCGCTTCGTTCCGAAACCTCATCATCGTTAACGCGACTACGACAAGTTTCTCTCGGTTATTCGCTAATTCCAAGGCACAAGCGAAGCAGCATATTGCACAGGGTCTCCGAAGTTTCCGTAATCCGTCAGAATTTAGATCGAATTTCAGCGGGTTCGTCGATATCCCGCAGCGTTAGATGCCACGACTGAAATTTATCGATCATCTTCGAACTGTCTTGCTCCGGAAGACGCCTTCGAAGTGGTTGAAGATGAAGAAAATGATCAAAACAGAAATAAGTTCTACTTCGAGAGTAAGAGCAGCCTGGCGATCATATCTCAAACATTTTAATCTACCATCAATTCTACCTGCGCGAAATGTAGGAGGAAAATTACAAGTAACGGTTCCCTCGACTTTCACAAAGACGATTAATCGATTTTATATGGCCTTAAGTTATTTCGACCTCGGCAGACAGTAAGAGGATTCGCTCGTATTTGCATAATCTGTCCAAAGAGGATCCGTATTGAAGACAGGGGAGGTCAAAGAGCCGTAAGCTTCTTTGTCGTGCTTCAATAAGGAACCACGAGTCTCGTAACGCCGAAATTGTAGCGAAATTTAGTGGTAATGATCGTTTAATTACTTTCTGTAATTAATGTTGCATATATACCGTACCACATCCTTATACTAAAACAAAGCTACACATTTTTATGAAATTTTATAGTCGTCGACGTATTGGTCTGTATTGTTCTAAATAGAACAGTAGAGTATCGTAGGAAGTTCGAAGTGGACTTGTGTTCCAAAGACGAATTAGTTTCTTTCGTTGGTTGGTTGCGCTCCTTCGTGACCGACACGAGAGTGCATAATTGCATGGCTGGAGTTGGTCCTTGGCGAAAACGAACGGAGCACTATTCCGAGATTAATGTGTGTTTCTGGCGAGCTTTGGGTATGCATTAATTCTCCCGTTTAATCACCCTGGCAATTACGCAACAACCGACGAACCGTACGTCTCGCGTGGCCCGCGAAATTCTGCGTAGTCATTGCAGTAGCTGAGCCTGTCTGCTAGCGAACGGCGCTACCCACGATTAATAGCTTTGTCGTTGAAAAACAAAAAACTTTGTTTATACTTTGACGTGAACGTGTAAACGGATAAAGAATTTTTAACGAAGAACGTTAAAAGCGCACAGAGAAACAAAGAGAACTGAAACGCCAGATCGTAGCGAGTCCAAACGAATTTCCGCATCACCAGAGACAATGTTCAAAAATTGGTATGTTTGATGCTCTTCTGAAAACTAAAAGCAAAATAAAAATAATCGATCCGTTCCATTTTGGATAGTCTCTAATGGAAAGTTACTCATTAGATTGTACGCGCTTGTCACTCGACCTCGACAGAAACAATATTTAAAAATGCAGAATCCAGTGTTTAAAAGCTTAATAAATATCCAACGCACGTTGGCTGTCATCGTTTGTAAGTAAACAAAATCCTGATCGCCATCTTGCGAACGTTCCTTTCCGGTGTTTGCGCATCTTGCGGCGGGTAAGAAAAACGAAATTATAGCGCGGCAGGTAACGAGACGCGAATAGAACTTGAAACTTTCTTAATAGGCGAACAAAGTAGACGGAAAGCAGATCCTGCGACGGTCACACGAGAGTTGAAGTTACTTCGCAGTATTTATTAACCTCGTTAGACGGTAAAAAAGAATTTATACGAGTCGTCCGGGTATCGTTGCGAAACACTTTCCCATGTAACGACCCCCGACCACCTATTCACCTGCTCTACTTATCCCCACTGTGCGCACGCCGCTCTGAATATTATTTTCACAGTATTTCACGAGCTTGCGGTGCACCTGAAAAACAGACCTGATAAAATGTAAATAACGAACGAGTGGAATAAAGCGTAGTAAGCAAATACTGCACCGCGCAACCGTGGACTCGATTAAGTGGATATTCTGGTTCGGAGCGTTAAAAACGATGAAAGTTGTATGAATATTTTTCGAGGATACAAATTTTGTAACTTCCAACGAGTTATTTATTTACGTTTGGATGTTTTGTTTCAGAATCAACCCGAGAGTGTACGTACGTTACGATACGATTTACTAAAAATTGATACGTAAAAAAATGTGAGTATCCATTTCAAGCGAACAGTTGCGATGGAATCGTTTGTTGCATTATTGAAATGACAATATTTTCCAGCGAAACTTCCTCGTACGAGCGAAACGAGCGATAAGAATAAACAAATGCGCTCGCGAGAATTTATAATGAGTGTGCCTTGCGTTATTTTCATTTTGTGTTTGAAATAACGTTCACCGTTTATGTATGGAAGGCCTTAACACTTTGCTGGCAAGAACACGTACGCGTCCGTGTCCGAATTAGCCAGTCGGGATTCAAGATGAAAAGGGATGCGGCGGGAGAGATTAAACGAGTTATATAATGACCCACAGAGCAATTTCCACGTGCACGGCTCGTGGGTGCGCACGCTGACGCAAACGTATTGCCTCGAGTGCAGACACGAGCAACCCGTCGCCTCTGACTGCATAAGCACAGTACGTAGCATCCAGACGCCTCTGAATTAGCGGTCTCGTACCTGTTCGTACAGTTGGGAGCTGGAAAGATGATTCCTGGGTTAACGTATTCGAGACCCGCGTAATATTGCAAGACTATCCCTCGTAAAGCTTATTCTCTAACATTCTCACTGTACTATATTTAAATTTCGGTTCGTGTTATATAAACAAAAGGACGCATTGCAAATGGGATTCACGGAACATATTCTTTTTGTATCGTTTGGTGAATATTCATTCTAAAGAGCTTCTATTCAGATAAATAAAAAAAGATTTCAACTTTTTTTTTACGTCGTTTCATCGATTTTTTGACCACTCGCGAAATGTTTGAACGTGTAAAACAATCGTCGTCTCGTTGAGGTATAATAATGGAAGCGTGACTCCGACGCTTTGAGTTTCAAGCTCGTTCCGCGTCTCTTCTGACGTCGGAGTCGAGACAGAAGAAACACCGAGCACGAAAAACCCGACTATCGTTTCCTCTCATCTCTGGCCATTATTCTTTCATAGCTTCCAATGCGAAATTAGTCGAGGAAAGAAGTACGGCTGAAACGAGGGATGGAAGCACAGCGCCTGTTTCCCTGGTCTTTTCTAAGGATTCTGTTTTCCTTCGTAGGACAAAGCTTCCTTTCGAGAAGTCTATTTGAACCAGTCTCGCCAGCCGTTTTGTTTTAGCAAACGAAGCGACAGGAGTCTCGTCCTTCCATCGATGTGAAATGAATAATAAAAATTGTCTGTATGCACCTTTTACCCGCGTCTTTTTATATTTTATTTTCGATACACGTTATGGTTTTTTTCCACGTCAGGGTGACATATAAATTCACCGTGTTTACGTTACCTGGCTGCGTCATCCCATTTGATTAATTAATTGCCGAAGTTATTGCTCACCTGCAACAAAAACGAAATTTCTTTTGTTTTTAAACGCATAATGGATGCATAACGCGTATAGTTGCATAGACTGCGCGATGAATTTATAGTGAAAGAGATAGCGCTAAAATTCTAAACGTTAAAAGCTAGTCCAGAAAAGGCAACCGTTCTCGACTAAATTCTTTTATTCACTGGCCCGTGCGAATTTTTTTATTCACTGGCCCGTGCGAATTTTTTTATTCACTGGCCTCGAGCAGGATTCCAAGGATTCGAAAATGTTCGGTCACGATCGATCGATCGACGAGCAATCCTAAAACTCCCTTGAATTTCTCTCGTCCCGATTGATACTCCGTCTCTTTATATGCTCTACACGCGGCCTCAACGCCCAACAAAAACCGGCGACTCTGAAAATTTCTCGCACGAACGGCAACAAAGAGCGACTGTTTATCAAGAGTTGCGGGTATTTCAACCCTGTCGCCAAAGCCAACACTCTCGACGATTGAACAAAGTATGGAAGCGAAACGGACCGCGTAATTGCCGATACGCAACGCTTTCGGCGTATAAAAAAAAAAAAAAAAGGAAAGAAGAATAACCAAACAAATAATATATAATTAAATTTATTACATAATATATTCCTTCTTTTTCTGCCGTGCATTATTAATCCGTGTCCTGTGTCTAAAGATATCGAATTTATAAACCTTCCTGGACGTTGTTATCGCGTTCGGAAAACGATGAAAAATATACCCGCAAAATGGCTCGTAAACTGTGAAAATTTTCTAAAATATTTTCATGAGAGCGAACCAACACGCGAACAATTTTTTGGGTGAAATTTCGCCCCTGGGATCTGTTTATCATCGAACCAAATAATGTCTACATTCCCAGCATCTCTCGCAAATTACATTTCCGGAAAGTGTGAAATTCGTCTGAATTTTCGCGTTGCCACACATCTCTCGCGAGTGTTGTTCGCTTTGGAAACGATCCACGTTTATCGAAAAATATGTTTCGCCCGTCGATGCAAAGCCAGTTTCGAAAATAGACGCGGCTTCGGAGAAGTTTCCTGCAGGTTGTGTGCCAGAGCGCATCGTATCGTTGCTCCAGTCTCAACTAAAGTTACTTCCATCGAGCGTAAGCGGATCAGGGTCGAATGGGAAGAAAGAACGCAGTACGAAGTACGCGTACTTCGGCGCCTCAAGATCGAACACTGTACACGGAGGATCCTCCCCGAGGGGATTTTACACTTCGGAGGTGATCTACAAGCTTCCCCACTTTCCTGGCTTATCCTCTTTCTCTGCCTTTGGGGACCAGTCGATTATTTTCTCTCGCGAAAACGAGGAATCCACGGTGGAAACCAGAGGAGAATCCTCGACAATAGAGCAACTTTATTTTATTTATCTACTTACGAAATTGGCTCTTCGTATACAGAAAAGTAGAGCATATAATAACACCAATTGCGAGCACGGTTGGTCACCTAGCGACGTATTTTCTTTATCGCCTACGTTGGACTTTGGAACGTATCAAGATACTACCAGGAATGATCGAAGCTGAGATTTTTTTTTTAAATCTGAGCGATGACGTTTCATAAAGTGATCTGATCGACCTACACCTCTTGCAGAGAGAAAGAAAATTGATTACCGTAAGTTAGATCAATAGACTCTAATGGGGTATGATTGAGTGTACAAGAATACATATATGGCGAATAACGAGAGTACTCGAATGGTGGGACGGACAATGCATCGTTATGTAGAAATTGTAGTTCAACATTTTCATATTTTAGTTTGAAACAGTATTTCTGTTACAGAAATGGACCGAAACCTGATATACGAAATATCCGTGGTAGCGAACAATGATCATAAAAACAATGTACAGTTTTATTCAGCTTACAGCCAGAGACGTTTTATTTTCAGAGATTCACTGACCCGATTAATGTTCTTATTACAGTCAGGTGGTTGGTACCATTGATTGCGAGCTCGGTGAATTTAACTGCAGAAACTGCCAGAAAGCCCCGAATTAAACTGTAAACCGTTTCAACAGAAGTTCCCAGCCACGAAATCGTTCTGTTCCACACACGAGGTAGCGTACGGAGCCCTAGGAGAAAATTCAAATTGAAATTTCCTAGGTAGGAACTCCCGTCGCGTGGACGATTCAAAAGCATGTCTTTCCAGGAGGCAAAGCGGTACGATTGGCTCTGCTTAGACTATCGCTGATAAAACATCGATGGACTCAAGAAATCTAATTCATGGTCGAACTGTGTCTACGTGGTTTCTCGAAGAAAGGAGGTAACGGAACGTAGAAATGAAAATGCATCGAAATGCCAACGAAAGGAAAGAAAAAAAGCAGCGGCAGGTCCTCCGAGGTGGAAACTAGTACCGAATTTACATTAACGAAATAGACAGACCTATCGATTCCCGATCGTCGCACGAAGCGGAAAAAAGGGGGTGGAAGAAAGGGGGGGAGAAGGGAAGAACGACGGCACAACGGCAATCCAGTTAATTGAAATCGAGGTACTCCTGAATTCGTTCCTCTCTCCTGAAATATCACGAAAGCTATTGAAACATCGACGTCGATTAGTCTGCTACGATGCTCACGCTAATTGAAATTATTAATTACAGAGATTGATACTGCTTCTTTTCTTGTCGTTAACCCTCTTCCTCTGTTTCGCTATCAAATTGCATAATCCTGCGCCATGTCACCGGAAACCGATGAGATTCGTGAGATTGTGTCAGCGCGATGAACTGAAAAATATGGTAAACATTGGATACTTTTTTGCTAGACTTCTTCGAGTTAAAAAATTATTTTATTCCAGTGAATTCTGTTTAAGAGTGGCGCGTAAAGACGGAACGAGTTCGTCACGTGAAACCGTTTCGTTGTTTATACAGACCAATTTGACCAGAACGAACGATTATAGGGCTGTAACCATCGAACGAGCGATCGAATCTCATCCAGGGGTTGGCGAGTAATTGAAACAGCACGAACGACGTGCACGGAAGGAATTTTAATACCGCCGTCGTGGAAACACCATGAATCTCACGCCCATCGAGCTCCGTTCAGATTTTATACGGTCTTAACGCCGGTGTAAGGGTTGCCATGCGCTCCACGAATATCTCTCCCGAGAAATCAATCGATTAGCGTAATTGAATTCAACGAGAAAGCGCGAAGACGTCCGATCGCTTACCCTCCACCCTTCCCTTCGATCGCTGCACCCCAGGAGAATATTCGAAGCTGTTAAAAGGGATAACCCTTACTTACCAAACTTTATTTCTGTTATATATACATTTTTAACGTAGAACTGTTGACGTTCGGTTTCTCAAAAATGTATTCTTTACGTTTTAAAGAGGAAAAATATATATTCGTTTATTCTTCTGAAAATTCATGCGAACGATGGCAAAAGCCCGAGAGAACCGCTACTGAAGTTAATGGACGACTAAAATATTAAAATCTGGGAAAAGCTCTGCGCGAAGTTCCGTTTCGGTGTATACTAAATAACCCATTAAAAGCACACGCGACGAAGAGCTTCGATGATCGCTATTCTAAACCTCCGAACGAAACAGCGACTCCTATCATTAATTAGTTCCTAGGTGAAAAGATAAACACCGTCAGAACTCACCCGCGGGTATTTGCTTCGAGAACAGTTCGGTAACACGTTGTTGGAAAACGGATCGCTCGGCCTTTATAATATCCTTTTCTCTGATAACAAACTTTCCCGGCTCTGGACGTTAAATAATTACGCGGTTGAGCCCCGGCTGTGACGATCGAACGGCTGAAACGACCGAGGCGTTAAAGTGTTAATTTACCCGCTTTTAGCGTGCACGGTTTTCGCATCCACGCGATCCGGACGTCGTTCGCCAAAGGAAAAGGGTTACCACGCCTGTCACAGCCCTTAAAGTACGAAAACTGCATTTTCGCAAATGCACCCCCTCCCCTTCCTCACAATTTCGTACAAGATAAACCGAGTTATTCGCGACCCTTCAAACTAAAGGACGCACAGTTTCAAGCCACCGAGGTAAAACGAAATTCCGTTGAAAATCCCACCCTCTCCCCTTTTCACACGTACACAACCGAGTTTCTTCGACGCCGGGGGGGGGATGTTTTCGAGGAAAAACGACGAATCAGCGATCCTGTTCGTCGCGCTTCGTCGAATCAATTAAGAACGATATCCGTTTTACGCTTATGCGAAAGAGGGTGTTGCGTAAAATTACGTTTCACGCTCGACTCGCTTTATGAAATTTCAGATCAGGCGCGTATCTTGCCGCCAAGCCACCAGCAGTGCGCAGTTTCTTTATTAAAGTACCGCGAAGGCATCCTGTATTATCATTTCGTACTTTGACGCGATCCGCCTGTGCAGCTGCCAGGAAGAGACAATATCACGCTTCGGTTCACCCACGCATCGATTCGAGAGGTATTCAGGGAAATTTTGATATTCGAAGGAGTCGCTCTATATATAATACTTTCAGTTCCTCGAATTTATTATTTGAAATTGCTTTTGTTTTCGAAATCGTGTTCTCAAATACCAAACTCGAGTTCTTTGTGCCTTCTGTCGGCCAAAATCTCTAATTCTTCATTCGGAATACTAGTCTAGATAAAAAGTTGCGCTCATTCGTGTTGGAGGCAGAGAGACGGAGCGCGCAACCAACAGATAAGGGTTTGAAATAGTGACGCGAACGTCCTAAACTCTCTCGACAGAAAAGTTAATTTTAAGTTAAGATTATACTTTAGCTGGCACGCCATGCCACCACGCTTGGCACAAGCTTCGGAGCTTGCGTGTGCACGAAACACCAGCGTAAGCAGCATTTCGTATAATAAGCCGTGAATTACGAGCTCGAGCACTCGAGGCAGCTCGCTGTAAAAGGGATACGCGCACGCGGCTATAGCGCTAATTATGTCGGTCGTTTAATTGATATTCACCGCGATAAACTAATCGCTCGAACCGCTTCAAAACAGAATCTCGACGGTGCATTCTCCTTTGCATCTTTTACTTCTCCCCGCGTGGCCGTCGATTGCTTATTAATTCAAATGGTCTCAATATGGTCTCAACGTAGATTAAAACGTACGATAGTAAATAGAACGGTAATCGAAGGAAACGAGTCTACGTTGAATCCATTTTAATTGAACCGTTTTTACTTCTGTACATTTTATATACATCTCACAAACACGTTAACGTTTATTTTTAAATATCCAAGAACGCTACGTGAATTTAATTTCACCACTTCCTAGACCTATCCGTTGGTCGAGTCGTTGACATTAATTAACTGATATCACGTGACGAGTTTGGCGAACGGTCAGTTATCGTCGACATTGAAATTATCTACGAGCGTCACGGATGTCAAGATCGAGTTAACGTATGTACGGTCAAGGTTCGTCATCGATATTTTTCGCATGGTATCTGGTCTAACCGGAAAATCCAACTTTTCTTGATGTCGGAGGCTCGCGCATCGCGGCGATGTAACAGTCGGATAAAGGACCCCTACGTGTTTCCTCGTAACTTTTATCTCCGTGAAATCCGCGGGAAGCTTAGCTCTGTAAGTAATCGCGTTAGTTATACAGGGCTTAAAGCGCTGGCGGCGGCCTTTAGGGAGCAAGAAATTTGTTCCTTTTCCTCCTCGAAACGGTCGTAATGATTTTTCCTCGGTGGCTGATCCGTGAATAGAAATTTCGTTTCGTTCGAAGGGAAGTTAAAACAGCAGCCAAAGGGAACAAAAACATTTTCAAAGTTACAATCACAGCTAAAAAATTCGTCCCGATCGTTTAATTACTTTCGACGCTGTATCGACGCAGAAGGGAAATATTTCGAATAGATAAAATAAAAATATAGATTTATATGAATGCGATACAGTTGTTTCAGTTTTTTTTGTTTTGTTTTTTTTTTTTTTTTTTACAGCGTCCGTCTGGTTATTCATCGGACGAGCAGCGCGTGTCAGGACAAATTCGTGCGCTCGTTTGGTACCTTGTCTGTAATATAAATAACGACATCGTGTTTCGCGAATCGACAAAGAATGATAAATGATCGCGTTGAATACTTGTCACGGATAGGCGATATGTTTCGGGAGCTAGTATCGATTGCCATGGCTGGTACAGGATTGCCGATAAAGAGGATTTGTTGAGAATTTACGTATACACTGACAGCCGCACAATGCATCAATGTTAAGCACGTAGATGGCAAATTCTAATGCGATCGCAGCTGCCGGAACCACGCATCCCGTTTATAGTCCTGAAACATCGTCGGTCATTCCCCGAACGCTGGCTATGTTCGAGGAATTTTTAGTGATTTTGACGAATGAAACTGGAATTCCGGAAACTGCTTTCGCAAAAAAGCTTCAAAAATTCGCTATTTGCTCGACTCGAATCGCAAGTCAACAATGTCGATCAATGTCCACGGAGCTGCTTTTATTGGCCAAAGCTCGTCACGGGGCTTTTCAATGCGATTATAAAGAACAGACTATCCCAGGGGATCTATTCGCTTCTCAAACATTAAACTCGGGTCCAGCTCAAAGGTATATGACGCCCTTAGGCTACGTTGTCTTCCTCGATGTTCCCTGCCATCGATACAAACATTCTCAGCTTCCTATCATCGATTCCACGTTTATATATTTTTTTAAATACGAAAGAATCGAAGTATCCAAGACGTTACACGTCGCATCAACGCTCAATGGCTACAAGCATGACTTTCATTACAATATAACCAGTCCCCAAAGTGTTCCACCCAGTTCGATTTCACGATCGATTTTATGGATTCTCCCGGGATTGCCTCGTTCGCGATGGAACAGTCGCAGGTTCGAAGATTTTAAAGTGCACCACCCCGCTCTCGAGTCACGGAGGACTCTTCTCAGCCGCAATTTTGAACCGCGCAATCTTTCGGCGCGTTTGTCCTCGAGAAAGCGAGCCAGGACTAACGGGTGGGAAGAGGATAAACGGATACGCGAGCGAGGGAAGGGAATCCTCTTGACCCAAGTATGCTCCGCGAGATGAAATCTGGATCTCTGCGATATGACGAGGTCAGACATCGAGGGAACCCGCGGAGGCGAATCAATTTTATATTCATGACGGCGGCAAATATCCTCTCCGAAGATTTACTCGCCAGGCGCGCAGAGATCTTCGCGTTTTCTTCTTCTCGTTAGTAAGATATTTAACTTTCAACAGCGGCCTGGATTTCGGTGCGTTTGATTCATCGACCCACGAAAGAGTCTCGCGTCTGAAAGAGTGGTTTTGTATTGTTAGGAGAAAAATTGTATTTTTGTTTACATTTCCTTAAAGACCGTACGTGATCGACATATGACGAACAGAGACTGACATAGTCTAACACTATCGTTAAACTTACGATACCATTTGGGATTTTTGCTCAACATTCCTTGAAGGAGAAAAGGTTCGCGAATCGGAAGCCTCGGGCGGATATCGAGGAATTTGCCCGAGTCAATCGCAGCCGGATTTATTAACTGAATTCCCGAGGCGTTAAGAGAATAACAGCGAAAGACGTTAAATAGCGGATGGAAATCCTTGGAACGTACGCCTCGGGCGTGGAGGGTAAGGGGATAGACATCTTCGAGGTGCAACGCAGGAAACGAAAATAAAAGGATAAAGGAGATCGGGACGAGACGGGACAAAGGATTTTCCGGATCAGAAGGTGGATTCTCGCAGTGCCGTTTTCCTGTTTCCGTTTCCGTTTCCGACTTTCAAGCTCGACATGTTTCCCCGGATATCCACAGGCCGAGCTAGGCGAGCGATCGAAAGAAAGTGTTCATGCTTGTGACAACGCGGTCAGCGATGATCCACCTTGATAAAAATTATGTTTGCAATATGAAAGAATAGAAAAAGGTTAGTAGAAAATAAATCCACCATCCTTCTTCCACTCATGGAAGGATGAGAATAGCTCGACATTCACAGTGCCCATAATAACAAGTTCGCAAAGTCGGTAGAACGAATTCTGAGATCGTTATAGCATACAGATACGATTCTGGAATTAAAACGAAACGATGGCGAAGGATTGACGAGCGTCCAGTCGAGCCAGTAATCAAAACTCGCTGGCTACCTTTGCGAGGCTATGAAAAAGTGGCGTGGACGACAGCTGACGTTCTAATTTAACACAGAAAAGCGTCGTTAAATTCAACCGGTTGCAGCGGAGGTCTGTGATTGCGTTCTTCGTTTCCGCGAACGCTCACGGACACGTTGGCGGTGAATCGAGAAAATGCGATTATTGTTCAACGAATTAAACGAGCAGCCACCAGGGTGCCGCTATTCAATTTGTCTCTCCAGGGGAACGAATGTATCGTTTGGATTTGTTTTCTGGGTAGCGATAAATCCTTATAAAAATTCCACAAGACATTTGACGTTTCGATGCCAGATAGTTGTTCGTGAAGACATAGGATAAGTCGATGATTCTTTAAGCCTTATCCTGTATTTTAGCGTCACGTTCGAAAAATAAAATAAAATTCACGAAACAGAGGATTACGCCACAAAAGTAGATAGAAGATGTAAGAATTTATTCAGATGTTGTGAGAAAGAACAGAGAGAGCTGTTTATCCAGAGGTTAGGATAGACGTAGTTCGGAATACTTTTCGAGGCAGCTAAGATAGAAGCTGAAGTAAAGTTTCTTTCCAGATGGAAACGAGGAATTGTCGAGACGATAGACGGAGAATGGCTCTTTCGCGAAAAGCACGGCCTGACTCGGACTCCAACTGCAAAGGGAATGGAAATGGGTTGAAATTGCGCTATCCGTTGCTTCCCCGGTTGCGTTGGATCTTATGGAATAACTCCGTGACGAACGTGCGGTTCCCCGCCGAGTAAAAGTAATTTTCCGTTTTCCTTTGCGGGTGGCGCGCCTTTGTTTCCTCATTTCGTTTTATTCGGCCATCACGGGGTGGGTATTAGATCCATCGAATCGAGGTAATAGCGTGATTATGGGGAATGGTACGGAACTAGAAGTTAGTTCTCGA